GGATGGATGAATGAAAGGATGGATGGATGAAAGGATGGAAGGAAGGAAGGATGGATGGATGGATGGATGGATAGATGGATGGAAGGATAGAAGGATGGAAAGATAGAAGGATGTATGGAAGGATGGATGTAAGGATGGAAAGATGGATGGAAAGAAGGATGGATGGATGGAAGGATGGATGGATGGATGGATGGATGGATGGATGGAAGGATGGATGGATGAATGAAAGGATGGATGGATGAAAGGATGGAAGGAAGGAAGGATGGATGGATGGAAGGATGGATGGAAGGAAGGAAGGAAGGAAGGATGGGTGGAAGGATAGAAGGATGGATGGAAGGAAAGATGGATGGAAGGATGGATGGATGGATGGATGGAAGGATGGAAGGATGAATGGATGGATGGATGGATTGTCCAACAACCGAGAATTGAAACCTTCAGATGCTTCAAACGGTGCCTCAAGACTGGAGCAGGAGCAACAACCAGGACTGAATTCAGGAGAAGAGTTCAGCTCAGAACCGTGAGGGGAGGGGGGTGGGGGGCTAGGACATGTGACAGAATCAGAGCTGCTCTGTTCACACACAACCTGCTGTTTCTCTCCAAAATAGTAACTTTATTAAGTGTCTATAAAATGTAGGTAAAGGTTGATGTATAACAACCTGTTAAAATACACCAAAATGCAGGAAATGGCATCTCTGTTTTTCAGAATTTTCTGTGAGGACCCAAGAAAAGTGGCTATTAATGAGACATTTGTCTTGCCATATCAAGCCACCTTCGTCTCGCTCCTGAACTCCTAGAGCGAACGTAAAATCAGCCCCAGGCGACATGCAGCTGATTTGACCATCAAAGTGCATTTATTAAGGAAAAGTTCAACTGAGACACACCTTTGTTATAAAATCGAGCAAACAAACAATTGTTTCTAAGTGTTAATCTTGTTAATTTCTTGTTAAATTCCTCCCGTGCACACTCTCGCGGCTGCCATTTAGCAGCCAATCAATTTTTGGCACAACACCGTCCCACATTTCCGGGTTGTCAGTGATGACAAATGCGACGTGTCAGCGGTGACGCATAGTAGATCCAACTTAAATGGCGAAGCGACGTATTTGTGTTTTTCCGCTTTATTAGACATATTTGGACTGATGTGTATACGACAGTGCAACGTGCACGGCAACAAGTATAATAACTGTTTTGCTGGCTTGAAGCTTGTTGGCCCATCCAAAACAAGAAAAAAACCCATAAATTAGCCACAGCGTTGTATAAGCGGCAGTGTTCAAAACCTGTGCAGAAATTAGCGGTTTATAGTCTGGAAATTACAGTTATAAGTGTTATTTTTTTTAATTGATTTTTTTGTGTTCCCCCTCAGGTGGAAGAGACCGACGTGGTGGCCCAGTATTAACGTTTCCCTCACGCAGCAACCACGACAGAATACGAACGGATGACCTGAGGAGGCTGATCGCCTACCTCGCCGGGATTCCCAGGTGACACACATAGTTGCCTCCGCTCTGTGATGTGCATGAGCACCACTTTATCCCCCCCCGCCCCCCCTTCATAATAAATAAAGCAAACAATGCAAAGGACACGTAGCAACTGGATGACCCTGTAGAGGCAAACACGTGACGGAGAGGATGGAGCACGTGAGCATCAAGGCAGAAGCAGTTCGCTCACCGCAGCTCCTTGGCTGCTAGAAATCAGTGTTGGAGAGGCAGAGATGCTCAGACCGAAAGGTGGGGTAGGTGGAGGGAGGAGCTCCTGCCATAAATCACTAATCAAATGACAGAAGGAGAGAGAGGTGTCAGTGGAGAGAAAGCAGGGGGGGGTTAGAGCGGACAGAATCTGAGAGCGCATGTGTGGGGAGGTGTGTGTGTGTGAGCGGGGAGCGAGCCTTCGTGTGTGTGTGAAAGCAAAACAAAGTGTCGCAGTAGCTGAGGCGGTGCAGCAGCAGCGGTTCCTGTTGGCGAGGAGCTCCTCACCTCTCAGGTGAAAACACAGCGTTTAAACCTCTCCGGTCATTCCCGGTAAACTTACCTCCCTTCTTCCTGTCTCTGAGCGTCCCTCTGTCTCTGAGCGTCCCTCTGTCTCCTGGTCTTTTATTTTGTTGGTCTTCTTTTGACTTCCTAATGTCTTTTTCAAACTTGTCATATTGTTCAGATTTGGTTTTTATTTGTGTTTTGTGACTCAAGCTGCTTTATTTGGGGGGGAGTAACATCTGGACCTGGCTGCCTGCTAGCCGTCTGCTGACTGACAGGCTGTTTCATGGAGAGAACAGGTTTGGGATCAGGATGGAGGATGTAGTGAGGTGCAGTGATAGAGGATGATGTGATGGTGAGAATAGAGTGATGAGAGTCAAACATTATGGAGGAATTCCTGTAAAAGACAAAATGTTCAACGAAGGAAATGAGCCGTCGGTGTTTGTGCGTTCAGCAATTTTTTGTTGTTAACTACTGATGCATCAACAAAACTGATAGCTTCTTAAATAATAAATGAAATGTTTCTTTTTGGAGGGAAGATTTGAGCTGCTTGAAGCAGATTTGCATTGCGTGGTTTTGTGCACATGTCCAGGCCATGGCAGCGCAGGGGAATAGGGTTGCATATGCACAAATGTGCTGACGTGTGTTTTTATATGAAAGCACATTTGCTCCTCGTTTGTCACAGGTTTGTGTGTGTGTGCGTGCGTGCGCGTGTGTTGGAGTGCGTGGGTGGATGTCTGTTTGCTGCGTAGGCTTCTCACGGTATAGAAAATGCGTCATCTCACTATACGTTCTTCCGTCCCCATCTCTCGTTTCCTTCCTCTCTCCCCTCCATCGTTCCTCTCTCGTGTCTTCTCTCTTCCTCTCTGGATTATACTCTCCAATCCCTCCCACTCTTTTAATTCCTCCCGCTGACCTCCATCTCCATCCGTCCCAGCGAGGAGGTGTGCAAGCATGGCTTCACGGTCATCGTTGACATGCGTGGCTCCAAGTGGGACAGCATCAAGCCTTTGCTGAAGATCCTGCAGGAGTCCTTCCCGTCCTGCATCCACGTAGCCCTCATCATCAAACCGGATAACTTCTGGCAGAAGCAGAGGACCAACTTCGGCAGCTCTAAGTTTGAATTCGAGGTAGGATTGAACTTCAGCATGTCTTTGCAAAAGTCTTGACTTTTATTAACATGTAAGACATTCACGAGTTACATAAGTGGAGTGAGCATACCCAGATAGAAGAGCTGCAGTTCTGTTCATTCATTATTTTAGTAATGTGTCTTATAAATAGCTGACAACCACTATAGCTGCTGTTGTAGGTGTGCACACCACCAGCTTGTTGTCAGCTAAAAAATAAATGTCTTCATGTTCAGCCGTAATAAATAAATCACTGTCGAGCGTTTGTGACACCGTCAGTCGAACAGTGAACCCATGTTCACGGCTCATTTCATGAAGCAGTCTCTGAAGCAGATGTTTAGGTGCTCTGGCTTTGTATCGGTCATTCCAGTGTGTTCCTGAAGTATCTGGAGTTATCCCTCTGATCAGGACCAACCAGCAGCTTTGATCCCAGTTTGAGATTTTTCTTTTATACCCCTGCATAACATTAGACTCTTTCTGAGTGGTTTTCACTGATGGAAGCTTTGTGAGTGTGGAAGTTGCTTTGATTGCTCACATGTCCATAAACAAGCAGGTTCAGTGCAGTCTGATGACATCATATTGATTATCTGATCGCAAGAGTAGCCATCGGGAGAGTGCAATTATCCTCAAGCTGCCCTGCCGAGCCACATAAGCATTGATTACGGTATATATGTTCTGTGCACAAATGCCCTAGTTAGAAATATTGATTATGAAAAAAATAAATATATGTAAATGTATTCAGGAGTGTATTATAATCATATCTTTATATTATTCAGCATTGAGCATCCTAATACTTGCTGTCCTGAAACCGAGCATGTAGCAATGTAAAAGGATTTAAAGAGAACTGAGATGTGTTGCAGCTGAAATGAATCCTGCAAACACACAAACATGTTGGTGAAAACAGACGAGAAGCTTCTGGATAACTACAAGCAACATTTGTCACAGGTTTTACTGCTAAATATGACATTCGGTCCCGTTATTTGTCTCTGTAGCGCTCTGGTCCCTCTGAAACAGAATGTAACTACATGAGTGATCTTTTTACAGTTACTATTGTAAAATCTGGCACCGCACTCTCAAATAATTTCATAGCTATGTCGTTTGCACCTGTTTTTCATTGACCGTTGTATACGAACGTTTTTGTAAAGTAGTGTTATTAGTACTTTATGTGGCGGCACGGTGGCGCAGTTGGTAGAGCTGCTGCCTCTCAGCGAGAAAGTCGTTGGATCGAATCCTGGCTGGGGGGCCTTTCTATGTGGAGTTTGCATGTTCTGTCTGTGCATGTGTGGGTTTTCTCCGGGTACTCCAGTTTCCTCCCACAGATCAAAAACATGCACGTTAGACTGACTGGTAACTCTAAATGGTCCCTAGGTGAGAGAGTGAATGGTTGTTTGTCTCATTTGTCTCTATGTGTCCCTGTGATGGACTGGAGACCTGTCCAGGGTGTCCATGTGATGGACTGGAGACCTGACTGAAAATTGTTGGATTGTATACCTGGATTATTGAGCATGGACTTTGTTGGTTTTGAACCAGTTTGAAATGACTGTCGACGAGGAAGAGGGCTGGCACCGGAGGAGGGGGCGTGCCAAAGAGAGACCATCTTAGCACCAACATAACTGGTTTGTTCCTCTTTGGAGTAAGCTGTTGGTGGAGGAATCAGTTTTGTGTTGTGTGTTTCCTTGACTGATGAAGCCTTCTGGATGGAAGGTGAAACGTTTCAGCATTTAAAAAAAATAAAAAAAGAAATTGTCCAGATGACCTGACTGAAAATTGTTGGATTGTATACCTGGATTATTGAGCATGGACTTTGTTGTCCAAGGTGTCCCCCGCCTCTTGCACAGTGACTGCTGAATATGGTAACCAGTGACCCCCGTGACCTGAAAAGGAAGAAACGGGTAAAAGTGGATGGATGGATGGATGGAACTATTTAGACTACAAAGCATCTCTAAATTCAGACTGAGCATGTGCACTTGTAACTGTAAAAAGGCCAATTATCATTTTGTCTTTAAAGGGATAGTTCAGCTGTTTTGCAGTTGGGTTCTTTGGGAAAGATGTGAAGGATTATTTCGACAGCTCACTGAAGGTTTGGAAAAATAAAGTTTACCTTTGATAAGGACTGTTCTGATGGTAGCTAAGAAGTGGAATGTGTCGTTCTAAAACAACTCCTAACAAAATAATCAAAGCTGTTTTATAATCGTATACCTTTATCAATTTTGTATTTCAACGGTGTTTACATAAAATTTAGTGGTGGCGTTTATTGTTTCTAAATAACCGTGTAAAAAAAGGTGACTGAAAATGTTCAAACTAGTGCTGTAAGTGTTACTACTCAGTCTGCAGGTGAACATTTTGTCTGAAGCATCCTCTCCTGGTAAACGTTAATGAAAACCTAAAAAGACGAGTGTCTCTGTTCACACTCAGCAGAGAAGTGGGAGCTACAACACAGTAAACTGAACTGAAGCTCAGTTTTGATTGTTGTTAATAAATCTCTGGGTCCAGAGAGAGGACTCGTTGCCCAGACTTGCTCACTAATGGAGTTTCTTGAACGTGGCTGCGTCAGTGTTCCCCCCGGTGCAGTGGAAGCCGCCGTGCTTCTTCATCTGAGAACAACAGTGCATCTCTGCATTGTTCTGGCCTACACACGAACACCATCCCAGCTATCACTTCCACTCCATCCTTCTCTGGCCATGTGTGTGGGGGTGTTGTGCGGAGGTGGCTCCGCAGAAACACACAGGCAACGAAACCAAGCAAGAAGACGTTTCCTCTGAGAAATTATTTTGTAATGTGCCATTGGAGAGGTTTTCAGTTGGTTGAGATCAGGTATTAGAATTAAAACATGTTCCATGCACATAAGCTTTCACCTTCTTAATTTTATTTATTTGCTGCATTTCAAAGATTGTTATAGCCTCAGAGCTGCTTTTAGCACAATCAATAATATGAGTTTAAAACGCCCTGCTGATGTATTGTTAGTTATTATAGTTATTGTTTCACTAAAAGTCACATTTACATTTTGTTCTCACTGGGCGTGAGGGATCCAGAGTTTGAGAACAAAATAATCTGCAGTATTTACAATTTGCAAAGAACCAAACCACTAGATAAACAAACACAGTCTAATTTGTTGGTGCTCTAACATAATAATAAAAAAAACAACCGTCCCTGAAATAATTTGAAACTGACGATGTTCAACGGCATCCTTTAATGTGTGTTTCAATTCAACACGTCAGACTTTTCAACATTTCATCAGATGAATGTTCCTTGTAATTAAATGAGAAAGTCATGGAGTAAAAAATGGTTCCCTTTACTTGATATTTTCAGCAGCCCCTTTTGCAGAGATAATCTCCCACAAGCCATCGCTGTTCTTCATAACGAGACGTCTGCGTTTGCCAACAGGTAGTTTGGCAAACTGCTCCAGCTGTCTCAGGTTTGAAGGGTGGTGTCTCCACACTGCAGTGTTCAGATCTTCCATAAACGTTCAACCTTTATTAAATCCTGTCTCATAGAGGGCTATTGAAGAATAGTCCAATGTTGTTTTCTCGGGCAGTCTTGGATGTTTTGGGTTATCTTTCTATAAGCTGTGTTTGAGGCTGAATGTTCTGACACTGAGCGATATGTTTCACTCCACCATGCCTTGATAGTCTTGAGATCTCAACCTGCCCTGCACAGATTCAAGGTTTGCTGTTCCAGATGCAGCAAAGCCGCTCCAAAACAAAACCGAGTGTTTCTCAGTAGGTATGATTTTCTTTTCTGCGAAGGTTTCATGTTTCTTTCTGTAAACATGGAGCAGATCTGACTGCTCACAAAGCTCCAGCTGTTTTAGTGCGTCACATAAACCTTTGGGGATTCTCAACATGCCTTTTGACAAACTCCCCTCTGTCTTTTGAATATTTTCCTGTCAATAGTGGAGTCCATCACGATTCAGAATGTGACGGATGGATGCTGTGATCAAAAAGTGACGTACCGTATTTTCCGCCGTACACGTCGCACCACCCTATAAGTCACATCAGTCCATATTGTCTAATAAAGTGGAAAAATTCATAAATACTTCACTTTGCTGTATACATTGCATCTATTACAGTATGTGTCACCGCTGGCGCATCGCGTTTGTTACCGCTGACAACCCGGAAATGTGGGCTGGTGTTGTGCCAAAAATCAATTGGCTGCCAAATGGCAGCCGCAGGGCCATGCATGGGAGGACTTTAACAAGAATTTAACAAGACTAACACTTAAAAACATTTATTTGTTTGCTCGACTTTATAGTAAAGGTACGTCTTAGTCTAACTTTGCCTTAATAAATGCACTTGGACGGTAAATATGTATGTATAAATATGTTGCTTCGGCGTGTAAGTCGCAGGGCATGCACATTATGCAAAAAAAATTGCAACTTATAGGGCGAAAAATACGGTACTTTGATCATGTTACTTTCATTATTAAAATGTTTTTACTCATTTGATGGATTGAGATTCAGATACCGTGCAGTGTCGTTAAGAAAGGAACTGCTGGCAAAAAGCAAAGCTCAGGGTATGAAAGTAGCATTTAGCTGCTTTGCATGCCAAAGTTTTAACTCGACCAGCACTAACGTAGCACTAAACTAGCACTGAAACACTGAATCCCATAGCAGTGAACCATGATTTAGCAGTTCAGCTTGTATGTTTTGGGTTGGCTTCCTTGGCTCTTTTTCTACCATCTACACTGTGCAACTGATCGACCTGAGGTCGCATTTTCTCTTGCGTCCACATCCTGGGAGGATGGCTACTGTCCCATGAACCTTATATTTTTTAACAACATTGATAGCTGTAGTCAGAGGAACATCAAGCTGCTTGGAGATGGTCTTTTAGCCTTTCCCTTTAACATGGATATCTATAATCTGCACCTTTGCTTTCTCTGCTCATTACTCAGTGTGGTGCACACAACCATGCCAAACTACCCAGGGTCTGTTTGTTTCCTTTAAATAGGCTGAAAGACTGATGAACAGCTTGAAGGCTCCCGTGATACTAATTAAGGTCAACCACTTAGTTTGAAGCATGACTATAATGCAAAAATTAAGTCTATTTGAGGGTACCACCAAATCTGTCCATAGTATTTTAGCATATCTATAAAATAAACAACAAATTGTTTCCTCTTACATTTTTTTGTTTACTCTTTAACTTATTACTCTTATTTGTGCTTATTCTTATACTAAAGGGATGTAGATATACATTAGACAATTGCTTCTAACTAAATCGCTTTTCAGGAGAACTGAGCAAGCTGACAGCATACCAGGCCACTAACATGAACCTAAATCTCTCCATTAGACCACCATGGTGTCGTTAGAGGGCTTGACAAAAGTCGTGGACCCCTCCCAGCTGACGTCTGACTTCGACGGCAGCCTGGACTACAACCATGAAGAGTGGATTGAGGTGAGCCTGACCCACCCACATCCCCAAAGTCATAACAGAACTGTGATTTAGTGCCAGATTCTTCAGTCAGTCAGCTGCACTGTTGGTGACTGAGAACTGATTGACCCTCACTCGAGTGTTTCTCTCTTGTCGTTGCCCAGGTCCGCGTGGCGTTTGAGGAGTTCTCCGGTCATGCCACTCAAATGTTGACTCGACTTGAGGAGATGCAGGAAACCGTGTCAAGGAAGGATTTCCCCAAAGACTTGGAGGGAGCAAGGCGAATGATAGAAGAACACGCCGCGCTGAAGAAAAAGATTATAAAAGCACCGATAGAAGAGCTGGATACTGAGGGACAGAGGTAGGAAACAAACCTACTATTCTAATAAATTACTAACACATTAATAGTGAGAAAGTAAAAGGGGTGACATCATTCTCTTCAAATTTGAAATGAATCTCTATGATGCATTTATTTCAAGTCTGTCAAGGTCAGATGATCAGGGTGGTTTCTGTTTATTCCAATTATAAGAGGACTGATAAAAATTACTTGGAGGACAAGTCTTTTTGGAACCTTGAGTTGTGTCTTATGTGTTTTTCAACTACAGTGTTTCCACTACCATTATACAAGCGGGGCAAACCGCCCCGTCAACAGAACCAAGCGCCCTGCCTACTGAACTGCGCACACCCCACCCATTGGCACTGGTGTAGCTCTAAGCTAGCATTGCGCAATACAGGCACACTAGCTAAAAAGCTAAAGGCAGCTCTCACGCTGAACCTTCTCGGCTCAGATGTGTCTCTGTCCCCGGCTCTAAAACTTTCGATACAAACAGCGCACATCTCAGATGTGTCGTCGTCTCCCACCCCCAACCCTCGACAAAAATCACGAACGAGATGAGCGCCCCACCATGGCAAGTTATCTAGGGGAAACATGGAACTATTGTTCACTTGGAATAATTATCAGCAAAACTGAACAATGTGAGGTTTCCCAGACATAATAAAAAATAATAAACTGGTGCTGCCGAGTTCCTGTGGCACTTCAGAGCACAGCATAATGAGACCAAGAGGCTAACATTATCTTTATAAGAAAGAAGAATGAAGAACATAAAAGAAATATTACAAAATACAGGCGCATTGTTGAGTCAGATGAGGCAAAGCTGGTTTTTATTTTTCACTCTTCGTTTGAGCGTGAATTGATTCAGCATGTCACTTCAACAGTAAAACACAGAGTTGTCGTTTTTAAAGGAATGTTTTATCTGTTTTGAGTTGGGTTTCTGTATAAAAGTCATAAATGTTGTTTATTTTACCTGTTGTGGAAAACGTCTTGAATAGCATCAGTTTGAAGAAAGCAGTTGCATCTGACAGGATGGGAGAGCTAACGGCTAGTTCGAACACAGCTAAAGTAAAATTTATAGCAGCTCCTGCTAATGCTATACACTAATTTAGCATTTCACAGATATTTGCCATAAATGCGGTGTTGTTCAAGTGTAAATAGTTGCAGCTTGCTTTAGCACTTTTGGTGTGACTTTGGGTCACTTTTGGTTGAACTTGTATACATTTTTCTCCTAGGCTAACCATATAATACAAAGCTGATGGCATCATAAACATTAAATGTTTACATTTGTGTCCCGCTATGACAAGTTTAAGACTGAAGTTGTTTTAAGGTGGTAGTATCTGCTTTGAAAGATGTTGTTTTTTTGTTTTTTTTTGGGTCAAAACAGTTTACATCAGACGTGGGCAATATGTGGTCTTTGGACAATCTCCATCCGTTCCTCAATATTCTTAAAGAAACAAAGAAAGGAAGAGGAAAAGGAAAACAAGTTGATGAAAACCTACATTTTATCAATAAAACTTGAGGAAGGCTAAAAACCTCTTGGATAAATTCATTTAAAAGTTTTGCGTTAAGAAAGGCTAAAAAAATGTTCTTATGTTGTGTTTCCAGAACTAAACAGAACTAAACTGAGCTTTAAAGCTCCTAAAAGCAAATGTACATTTTTATTTTTTGTTTTTATGTTTATTTATGTATTTATTTATTTGTTTACTTACTTACTTATTTCTTCATACAATGATGACAACACATAGCAATTATTATTATTATTATTATTATTATTATTATTATTATTACTTACTTACTTCTTACTTTCTTACTTGGGCGGCTGTGGCTGGGTGGTTAGAGCAGTCGTTCTCCAATGCGAGAGTTGGGGGTTTGAATCCACCAGCAGTCACATGCTGAAGTGTCCCTGGGCAAGACACTGAACCCCTCATAGCCTCTGATGTGTGTCCCATCAGTGTATGAATGTGATAAAGCTCTGATTAGTCTCTTTAGAATGATTTGTTCAATTAGCTTTGTAGAGATCTAGTATAGAGCTGTATGAACGGGTCAATGAGGCACAGATTGTAGTAAAGTACTTTGAGTATCTTGAAATAAGATAGAAAGGCGCTATATAAGTACAGTCCATTTACCATTTTATTTACCGGTACTTATTACTTACTTGTTACTTACTTCTTTCTTACTTTTTACTTATTACTTGCTTACTTATTACCGGTACTTACTTCTTACTTACTTACTTACTTATTTTGCATATTTAAACTTATAAATTTGTTGTCACAAGAGCCATTTTCCAGACAGTGTGTTTTACGTCCCTAAAGAGACGTACACTGCCCGGTCAAAAAAAGTCACCACCTGGATTTATCTAAGCACATGGGTAAGGGCCTCTCGTTGTACGATTACCACAAGAAGTTATTTAACCCTAACTGATGCAGTGAGTAGATCAGAAGTTCAGTAGAGTCAAATATTTGGCTTCAAGCAGAGAAAACATCTGAGGAGATTTCTGAAACGACTAAAATCTGCTTCAGAATTGTCCAACACTTTATTAAAAACTGGAAGGACAGTGGAGAGTGAGCATCAGGGTAAGAAGAGTGATGCACCCATCATGCCTTGTGTCTACTATACGAGCCTGTGGGGACGGTCTATGATCTGGGGTTGCTGCAGTTGGTCTGGTCTAAGTTCAGCAACATTATGTGCCCAAAGACTGAGGTCAGCTGAACATGCTGAACGACCAGGTTATTCCATCATCAGAGAGCTCATCTTCATGAGACTGGACAGGAGTAAATGTGCCGTTGCAGAAGCTTGTGGAAACGATGCCACAGAGAATGTGCACCGTAAACAAATCTATACACAGTCTAATGAAATGTTTGTGTGTGTGACCTTTTTTTGGCCAGGCAGTATAGTTTTATCAACCATGCTAACTATGCTACAAGAAGAAAAATCCTAAAAAGAGACTTCCAAATGGTCTGTCTTATAGAAAATATATTTACTCTTTCTCTATGTGATCCTTCAGTTGCATTAAATGCCTTGATTTGGCACTCCAGAAAATAAAAAGTTGCCCACCCCTGGTCTAAATGGACCTATTTCCAAAGTGTATTTTTCCACCAACACCAACTCCAGTCTTATAAAGTTCATAGCTGCTCCTGATCATTCTGTTATTTCAACCTTATGTCCTTAATGCCCAGCTCTAAGGGTGCACAGGAAGTGCCGCACGTTGCTGCAGCAACTGTTTACACTTGTAAAGAAGTGCCAGTTTCCGTGTAAATAACCATCTTATGAATAAATTATATCTATAATTTAAACTGACAGTGGTGTCAAGGTTGTTGAAGTTGAAATTGCATCAACAGTTCAATTCTTTGGTGTCGTTTTATAACAAGAACAATGCGGTTTGGTCTTGGCCGTGTTCAAACGCACACCTTTTCTCTAAACTGAGGCCGTTCGAGAAGTTCTCCACAACACGCAACTTTTCAAATGCGTTGGAGGTTTTACATGAAAAACATCTTCAAATTAGAAAAACTATTTCTTTAATGCATGGGCGTGTGCATTACCGTTGTGCCGACTTTTAAAGCATATCAAAATGTTTATTACATGATACCTTAGATCATGTTGGTTGAAGGCAAAAACGTTTTTGTAAAAGTTTGAGTTTTTTTTGTGTGAATTTTACTTAAACATGAGCTGCTCACCTAATGATTCTGACTGAGCGTACTCGTTTATGGAGACGCAGCCGCCTGGCAGCAAGTTTTTAACAAACCCAATTGTTTTTAAAGGACTTTTTATCAAAGTGTTAGCCAAGCAACATTATGATTTATAAACTGCATGTTTTGCCTGAGTCCAAGCCGTTCATAAAATGAGCATTTTTACAGGAGTTCAGAAAAAAACACGTCTCCTTCAGTCTGATTGTAATTTATTGGACCATCCCAAATAAAGCTATTCATGTAATCACAACTGTATTATTTTATTTATTCATTAAAAGCAGCAGGAGGAACACTATTCCAACGTTTTATAGACTTATTGGCTAAGAAAGTTTTTCTTGCAAACCTCCCTGCTGCTGGGGAAATGCCTAACGTGCAATATTTGATTAGAACATAAGAAAAGTCAAATGACGCTTCTTTTTTAATTAATTTCTGAGTCAGTTGATGTGTTAAATTGTTTGATTGCTCATAAGTCAGAATTCAACCAGTCTTGACATCTGTTTCCAGGTTGCTTCAGAGGATTCAGTGCAGCGAGTCCTTTTTGAACCGTAATAGCAGCAGTGGTGGGGGTGGAGGTGGTGGTGGCACCGGCAGTAGCAGCGGTGGTGTTTGTAACCCCGACACCCAGGGCCTGGTGCCGCGGATCACGCAGCTGCTGGACAAGCTGCACTCCACCCGGCAGCGGCTGCACCAGACCTGGCACGTCCGCAAGCTGCAGCTGGACCAGTGCTTTCAGCTTCGCCTGTTTGAACAGGACGCAGAGAAGGTGTGCGCACGAACGGGAGCAGGGTGTTGTACAGTGTGAGCTGGGATCAGAGCTAATCTACAACTACAGACGGTGATCGTGTGGGGCTGGCATCTGTCAATAATTAAACTTAATTACAGCTGCAGCGATGCATTGATTGATGCTGTTGGTGAAGACCACATAAACTGATGTTCGTTTTCATTTGCCATTCAAACTGTTTATCTTATCATATAAAAGAAACTAGAGAAATTACACTTTCTCTGAAAAGTCTGTGTGAATGCTAAGAACTGAATGAGTGAAGAAATTTGATGAAAAAGCTGAAACTGAGTTGTTAAAGCTGAAAAAATGCAAAACACTAGCCAAAAACTTAAAGAAAAACACTTGCTAAAAGTAGGAAAATGCAGGTAAAATGTACAAGTAGTTAAATGCTAAAGCCAACTAAAAATTAAACTTGAAATGCTAGCTAAAAGCTTAAAGGAGCCAAATGCTAACTAAAACCAGCTAAACATGAATTAAAATCTAAATGTAGCTAAACTTTAGGTAAAAGTCATGCCATGCTAGCTAAAAGCAGCAAAACAGTAGCTAAAAATTAAAAAGAAACAAAACAATTTCTAGAAAGCAAAATGCTAACTTGAACCTAAAAGGAGAAAAATGCTAAGTGAAAGTAGTCAACTGCAAGCTAACTTGAGCAAAATGCAAGCTAAAAGCCAAAAGTAAATATTGTCCCCATTGCATTGTAAGGCCTGAGTTGGCCCAGCCCGGGTTCTGCATCTTTGCATTGGGTGGTCCGGCCCACTTCCAGCTCTGTTTTTGGAACCCATAGATCTAGGGTTCCATGCAGGCCGACTAGCGCTGAAGCTTTGACGTCAGCAGCCTACAGGCCACTAATTGCTTCACTGCTTCACTTGTTCTTGAAACTTCAAATGACTGCACTCAAGCTAGCTTTAGCTAGCATTAGCTTTCCTTCTTACCTTGTCCTACATTCATGAAGCTGTGGTACTTCCTCGTGCACTCTCATGTATTATGCTTCTTCTAGCAGAATGCAGCTTTCTCTGCCTCTCTTTTCATTTGTTTTTAACAAGAGAACAATGTATGAGATCTGTGCTTCCTGTTGTCGGGTGCTGCAAAAATGACATCACGTGAACCTCGGGCATTCTTTCTACGATGGTCCTGCCCACATGCAAAAGCAACCAAGGCTGTGCAGGATCAGGGAAGACCTGGTTGGGCTGACCAGGGCCATGCCAGACCTTACATTGCAAAAACACCATACATGCTTGCTATACATTAGCAGAAAGCACGTTGCTGTTTGTGCTCATGTACAGCACATCAGCTTAAAACTAAAGGCTAGCTGAAAGTAGCAAAATGCTAGCTAAGTAACATCAGGTGTATGGTGAAGCAGATAAAGAAATAGAGGATTTCCTGGTTTTCTATAGAGAATTTGTTTTATTTTTGATAAAGGTAAAATGTTTTTTAAAGTACAAAGTTACTCAATCCAAAGCTCCAAGCCAAAACGTCTGGAATAAGTTGAACATTTGGACTTTTTGACAATAAAATATTGCAAAATTTGCAGAAGTGCTTAAATAAAAAAGGTACAAAAGAAAGAGTGAAGAGAAACAGGATTAAATACTGAGTCTGCATTCACACAACAATGACTCCAAAGTTTCATCTTCTGCAGCCTCGCAGAGTCAGTTAATCGTTATTCAGGTGCACGGCCACCACCCAGACAGCTCAGGCAGGCCGTGACAGCTGCGGCACAAAATAGAAGGAAACAGGGAGTGAAAATCGGGGATCCACTTTTGAGTAAGTAGAATAAAACAGCAGTCTGCAGTAACGGAGGGAGCTGCAGTCCTGGACACGCTGCAGCAGCAGGAGCTTGTTGCTAGGACACCACAGGCCACAAGTTGTTCTCCAGGAGAGCATGAGAGGATTCTCTTCATAGAGGCGATCCGTTTGTTTCCTGGCCTGGAGAAAAGACAGCTCTGTGCACACTGCGGCAGCAGAAGTTTACTCGCATGGCCGTGTGTTTCTGTCCTGCAATAAACTTGTGTTTGTGTCCAACTCGTTTTTTAACGTGTGTGTTTTGCATCTTCCTGCGTCAGATGTTTGACTGGATCATGCACAACAAGGGTTTGTTTCTGGCAAGCTACACAGAGATTGGCAACAACCACCCCCACGCTGTGGAGCTGCAAACCCAGCATAACCACTTTGCTATGAACTGCATGGTAAGATACACACACAGATGTGCGGCAAGAAGTAACACATTTCCGCCCACTTGGACTCAAGTCCTTGCCCCGAACAGTTTAATCATACAGTCACTGCACTTAGCATCAACCTCTAGTGCTGCGTTTGAGTGTTTGTTTGGAGACACTTGTGCTTCGGTGCACATTTTCTACATAATCACAGCAACACAACTAGGTATTAAGTAATCCTATTCTCTATCCACACTTGGCCTTACATAACTATTATAAAACTGTTGAGGCCAGGATTTTCTCTAGCTATTAGTTTCTGCACGATGAGACAATGGCTGATGCCGTTTACTTCACTCTCCCCCATTTTTAGGCTTCCAAGTTTACATTTTTACTATTGTTTATCCTCACTGATGAACCCTTTTGCCCCGTGTCCTGCTGCGCAGAATGTGTATGTGAACATTAATCGGATCGTGTCAGTGGGCAGCCGGCTGCTGGAATCGGGTCACTACGCCTCTCAGCAGATTAAGCAGATCTCAGGTCAGCTGGAGCAGGAGTGGAAGGCCTTCGCTGCGGCGCTGGATGAACGTAGCACACTGTTAGAGATGTCGGCGAGCTTCCACCAGAAATGTGACCAGGTAAATCTGCCTGAACAAAATTCAGTGTTCGTTTCTTTCTCTTCTTTTTTTCTTGTTAGCGTTACGGTACGTAACAGGAAAAAGGAGTTCAGTTTATGATTTATAACTCATTTTATTTAAGGAACACATCAAGCTTAATAAACGCCTACGTTTTAAGCTTGTGTTTTATGTACAAAATTTTTATTTAACTAAATATCTTTAATTATAGTCTTAAAAAAAGTTATTGTTCTCATATTCCAGTAAGTTGCTCTGGCCTTTGTTGTTTAAGTTTTTACAATAGAGATCTATCTGTCTACTAAAGTCATACTCACTAAATGAGCATATGTTTTTTTCTCCAGCCTGTTGCACATCATTTGCACTTGCGATTTGTTCCTCTCAGCATTGTATTCACAAAGAAAATAATGCTAATTAACAGAAGAGGAAGGCCTTCACTGTTAATGATAAAATTGGCATGACTAAAACATACCCAGTCATACCAGTAACAGGTAACAGGTCTCTCTTGTAAATGATTCCTCGAGGTTCAATGGGAACTAACCTGTATAAATAAAGGTAGAATAAATCCCCGCCTAATTCAACAGGTTTTTTCAACAGCACTAGTCTTTGAGAATTTAATGTTTTTTACTAGAGCCCAACCGATATATTGATCCGGCTGATAATTTAGACCAATGTAGACTTTTTGGGAACATATCATTATCAGTGATAATGGTCCCAATATTGGCCGATATAAACACTTCTATTTTTCACCCCTAAAATGCTGGAACCAGCTGTAATTGTACAATGTATCCAGCAGAGGGCACATGAAGACTACTTTCAAGTCATGTTTGTTTACTTTAAGTTTCGCTTTCAGCACAGATGAAGTAGGGAGCAATACTGTGCAGTGTGTTTTACTGAACAGCGCATCGCAAGTTTATTTTAACTGATCTGTAAAATTAAATAATAAATTCTCTTCAATCCTGCATCCTGCTTGTCAATAGCTATGTGCCTCTCAATTTAGCAAGCTAACAACAAAAAGGTTAAATTGTGTCATCTGGACCAGTTTCTTTAAGTGAGAAACATTTCGTCCCCCATCCGGAGAACTTACAGATTTGTCCCATAGGTAGCCTTCATTCAACATCGTAATGAAGGCTACCTATGGGACAAATCTGTAAGTTCTCAGGATGGGGGATGAAATGTTTCTCCCTTAAAGAAACTCGTCCAGATGACATGATTTAACCTTTTTGTTATCTACCTGGATGATTGAGCTTACAACCTTATCTGTATAGCATGCTAACATTTAGAATGATAACCTAGCATAGGTTATTGCCTTATAAAACTTTATCCAGAACAATGAA